CCTTTCCCATTAAACACAAACCCCACCAGTCATGCCTTTATTCTGACTGTAATGCTATGATCATACCCGACGGTATGCTACCCACTAGTTGGGAATAAATATTATTATTATTATTATCATTAATCGTCATCCACATTAGCGAAACATTTCTACGCGGTGTGTCGTCAGTCGCGTGACGAAGGCCACCTTCTCTACGCCTGGAGTAAAGCGATTGCCATGCCAATCTACAAAAATGGTGACCAACTATGGCCCGGCAACTGTAGCCCTATTAGCCCACCATCCTACCGCACAAGGTGAAGCAAGCCATCCTAGATCACCTTACTCCCCGGTCAAAATGGACTATTCTAAGACCGTTCTTGTGTAACGAAGATGCTTGTATTTATGGACAGCTTAACCCAGGCTAAGAGCAAGGGACTCCAGTTGGATGCCATATTTTCCGACTTCCCGAAAGCATTCGATCGAGTCCCATAAGTCCCGCTCCTTCACAAACGTGAGTATTACGTGATTCAAAGAGAAATTATACGCCGGATTAGGGCGTTCGCATCAGACGGAAAGTTTGCTGCAACAGTGGGCTTGGACTGGTATCCCCCGGCATCAGTCTCCTTTGGAGTTCCTAACAGCTCCACTCTTAGGCCATTGCTGTTGCCGACCTACGTCAGTGACATTCAAGATGTTCTTGCAAGTCCACGTCTAGCTTTTGCCGATGAATCAAGTCGGTTATTACCGAAGTACTTGTTTAAGTGCAAAAACGAACCCCACTGCCATTAATCCATGAAGAACTGCGAACTTCAACCCGCCACAGCCGTTGTTCAAGGAATTTCTCCAGACCATAGGCCGAGAAACAACGACCGTTAGTGGTATGCTGTATATTGTGGAATGGTTACTCCAGTGCGATGAATTGAATTTAAAGGAGAACAGTACTTTATAGAGTGTAGTAATGGGAAAACATAAACAGTTCAATATGTAGAGGACTTGCATACCTGTATTGCACACATGAGGGAACGTCTGCTTACAACGGTTGACAATTTGTGAACCATAAAAATATTCAGCACAATAGAATTAACGGAATGAGTGTAGAGTTGTAAAACAGAGGAACAAAATGGGACGGATATTGCACCCGTGGTAAAATGCACAAAAACCATCACCCAATAAATACCAAATATTCGGTGTACCGGTAAAGAGGGCTACTCTAGTAAAGTAGAAAGAACACTTGTTTCGTGACACGTTTCAAGAAGAATCTATCTTCCCTGTCGGCATGTTCACCCGAAGCGTTTGAGGTACGGTACGCACTCGTACGTGTGTAAAATTCTGCCACGTGCTTAAGTGGTAACATGTTCGACTCACAAGGGAACGCTGGAAAATTATCCAGAGGGCCGTGAGACGATAAATCGTCCGGCAAGTGCCGAAATCAGTGGACATTCTATACCAGTTCCTGTAACCCATACAATTTCTGAAACTTGTTAACAGATACTAGCAATAATTGTGGTAAAAAAAACCAAGGTGAGAATATGATGGCAACAATGGGAAATCAAACGCTCAGATAGAAATAAACCTCTGAAGTTTTGATAACGTTCATGTGGAAGAATGTTTTTAAATACAATCGGACCAATCTAAAACGACAGTTGACTAATCTCCGCCGCTTATCACTGTACAGTGTTATCTCCCCGCAATTACGCTGAAAATCAACGGGCATGTGGGCACGTATAATTTGCATCATGTGATATACCCTGTTTACGCTAGTGGCGAAGCCCGTTTACCATATCCAACTCGATGTTTCCCCTCTGGGGATTTCTTTAACTGGACATGATGATGGTAATCTCATCAGTGCCCGCGCGTCTCGAAGGAGTTCCGAAAGTTTATGCTGCGCTTATATAAGCGCACGATTCACGGTACTGAAAGGGACACTGGTCTAAGTCATCCATTCTCGAAAATTAGGTGGTTTTTCCAAAGCTAACTCTCTAGCACGCCAAGTTTTGCGGTTAAGCGATCGCCTAGAAATAAAAAACCACTTTCGGAAGGATACAGTCGTCATAGATATATCAGCGGTCATGACATACCATCCCTCCTGGTAAAAATCCGCGGGGACACAGAGACAGCAGCA